GGCGGGGGGCACGGGGGGGTCCCCCAGAGCCGCCATCACTGGTGGAGGGTGTCCCTGCGTGTCCCCATGCCCTGGCGTGCTGCGGAGGGGAGCGGGAGGTGTCCCCAGGGCCAGCCCCAGCGGGGACACCATCGGGTGCTGCGTGGGGACACCGGGGTGACACCCTGGGGTCCTGTCCCCACGGCCTGGGGAGCAGTGACAGCCCCACGGAGGGGGCTCAGGGGACGGGGGACGCAGGGTGGGACAGCACGGAGCAGCAGTGTCCAGATGCTGCTGCCAGTGTCACCTTGTCCCCAACCCCGTGTCCCCTGGCCCCCCACGCCGGCCGGGGGTGGGTCACCCCTGAGCACCCCGAGGGGCTGGGGTCCGAGGGGGACTCCGGCTTCGGCTCCTGGGGACCCTCCCCTGGGAGGAAGGCAGGGTCCCTCAGGTGCCACCTGGACCCCTCTGGGACACCTTCCCCTGGATCAGACACACCAAGAGGCCACCGGGCTCGGCGAAGCGGGGTCCGGCCCCAGGGGGGGTCCCCGAGGAACACCAGGAGGTGGCGGGGGGACGGAGCGGGGCTGCAGCCCCCCGGGACGGTCCCCGTGTCCCACCCACCCGGGGGGCAGCGGCCGGTGGACTCCTTCGAGATGGAGGAGGTGAGGGGGGATGCCCGGGGGAGGGGGGCAGGAGAGGGGTGAGGGGGGGTACCCTGTGGAAGGGGGGGGTCCCCCGGGCTGGTGGGTGGCACTGGGTGGGACGGGAAGGAGCTGAACCTTTACACACGCACGCACAGAGGGATGGATGGGTGTGCACGGACACACTGGTGCATCTTTACACACACTCACACACATAGAGGTACGCACGGGTGTGCAGGGACACACTGGTGCACCTTTGCACACACTCACACACACAGAGGGATGCGCGGGTGTGTACAGACACACTGGTGCACCTTTACACACACACACACACACACGGCTCAGTGGCTCGCACGCACACCCGGGCGGGCTCGCACGCACACACAAGCATCCTTGCACACACACAGGCATCCTTGTACACACACGGGCGTCCTTGCACACACAGACAAGCATCCCTGCACGCACGCACAAACACACAGAGAGGGATGCGCGGGTGTGCACAGACAGACTGGTGCACCTTTACACACACACACACACATAGAGGGACGCACGGGTGTGCAGGGACACACTGGTGCACCTTTGCACACACACACAGGGATACACGGGTGTGTACAGACACACTAGTGCATCTTTACACACGCTCACACACACAGAGGGATGCACGGGTGTGCAGGGACACACTGGTGCACCTTTACACACACTCACACACATAGAGGGATGCACGGGTGTGCAGGGACACACTGGTGCACCTTTGCACACACACACAGGGATACACGGGTGTGTACAGACACACTAGTGCATCTTTACACACGCTCACACACACAGAGGGATGCACGGGTGTGCAGGGACACACTGGTGCACCTTTACACACACACACACACATAGAGGTACGCACGGGTGTGCAGGGACACACTGGTGCACCTTTGCACACACTCACACACACAGAGGGATGCGCGGGTGTGTACAGACACACTGGTGCACCTTTACACACACACACACACACATAGAGGGACGCACGGGTGTGCAGGGACACAGTGGTGCACCTTTGCACACACACACAGGGATACACGGGTGTGTACAGACACACTAGTGCATCTTTACACACGCTCACACACACAGAGGGATGCACGGGTGTGCAGGGACACACTGGTGCACCTTTACACACACACACACACATAGAGGGATGCACGGGTGTGCAGGGACACACTGGTGCACCTTTGCACACACACACAGGGATACACGGGTGTGTACAGACACACTGGTGCACCTTTACACACACTCACACACACAGAGGGATGCACGGGTGTGCAGGGACACACTGGTGCACCTTTGCACACACACACAGAGATACACGGGTGTGCAGGGACACACTAGTGCATCTTTACACACGCTCACACACACAGAGGGATGCACGGGTGTGCAGGGACACACTGGTGCACCTTTACACACACTCACACACACAGAGGTACGCACGGGTGTGCAGGGACACACTGGTGCACCTTTGCACACACACAGAGGGATGGATGGGTGTGCACAGACACACTAGTGCATCTTTACACACACTCACACACACACAGGGATGCACAGGTGTGCACAGACACACTAGTGCATCTTTACACACACTCACACACACAGAGGGATGCACGGGTGTGCAGGACACAATGCCCGGGTGTGCAGGGACACACTGGTGCATCTTTACACACACACACACACATAGAGGGATGCACGGGTGTGCAGGGACACACTGGTGCACCTTTGCACACACACAGAGGGATGGATGGGTGTGCACAGACACACTAGTGCATCTTTACACACACTCACACACACACAGGGATGCACAGGTGTGCACAGACACACTAGTGCATCTTTACACACACTCACACACACAGAGGGATGCACGGGTGTGCAGGACACACCAGTGCACCTTTACACACACTCACACACACACAGGGATGCACGGGTGTGCAGGACACACCAGTGCACCTTTACACACACTCACACACACACAGGGATGCACAGGTGTGCACAGACACACTGGTGAACCTTTGCACACACACACACAGGGATGGATGGGTGTGCAGGGACACACTGGTGCACCTTTACACACACTCACACACACACAGGGATGCACGGGTGTGCAGGACACACCAGTGCACCTTTACACACACTCACACACACACAGGGATGCACAGGTGTGCACAGACACACTGGTGCACCTTTGCACACGCACACACACGCGTGTGGCCTGTCACACTCACCCGGAGCACCTCCTCACCCAGCCCTGCCGCATCCTGCCCGCAGGTGCCAAGCGCCAGCGAGGAAGATGATGATGACGACGACGACGATGATGATGATGATGGACACACGCGTGTGGCCTGGCACACTCACCCGGAGCACCTCCTCACCCAGCCCTGCCGCATCCTGCCCGCAGGTGCCAAGCGCCAGTGAGGAAGATGACGACGATGACGATGATGATGATGGTGATAACCATGAGGAAGCCGCCCGGTCCCTCCATCCCGTGATACCCATGAGGAAGCCGCCCGGTCCCTCCATCCCTCCTTCAGGATCCGCAGAAGTAAGTCCTGGGGCTCTCCCACCTTCCTGGGGGGGCACTTGGGGGCCACTGGGCTACCAGCCCAGCAGGTGGCCGGTGCCAGCGTGTCCCCCCCTGTCCCCCCCGCTCCAGCCTTCATCCTCCACGCCAGCAGCGGCCAGTCCGACAGCAGCGGCTTCGTGGAGGAGCCGGTGCCCGGCCACCCCCCAACCGGAGCCCACCAGCTGGACTGAGGACACCGCGGGGGGACCCGGGCTTGTCCCGGCGCTGGTGGCCACCGATGGACTGCACCGGGCCACCGCGCTTCGGGCACCCTCAGCCGAGGGCTGAGCACGGCGTGTGCACGTGTGTGTGGGTGTGGGTGTGAGCGCACGTGTGGGTGTGAGCGCACGTGTGGGTGTTTGGCACAGAAAACCTTTTGACTCAGGACTTTTGCCCCCCCGAGGGGGCACACGCGTCCCCACTCTGCCCGGTTTGGGGCTGTGGCTGCACTGGGGCAGCACCGGGGACATGTCCCCATCCCCAGGACAGCACCAGGGACATGTGCCCCAACCCTGGGACAGGGTCAGGGATGCGTCCCCCATCCCGGGACAGCACTGGGGACATGTTCCCCATCACTGGGACAGCACTGGGGACATGTCCCCCAGCCCCAGGACAGCACCAGGGACATGTCCCCCGTCATGGGTCAGCACCGGGGACATGTCCCCATCTCCAGGGCAGCACCAGGGACATGTCCTCCAGCCCTGGGACAGGGTCAGGGACGTGTCCCCCATCCCCAGGACAGCACTGGAGACATGTCCCCATCACTGGGGCAGCACCAGGGACATGTCCCCCAGCCCTGGGACAGAGTCAGGGATGCGTCCCCCATCCCAGGACAGCACTGGGGACATGTCCCCCAGCCCCAGGGCAGCACCAGGGACATGTCCCCCAGCCCTGGGACAGAGTCAGGGATGCGTCCCCCATCCCAGGACAGCACGGGCTGCACCGGGGCAGCACCGGGGACATGTCCCCCATCCCCAGGGCAGGACTAGGGACATGTCCCCCATCCCCGGGGCAGCACCAGGGACATGTCCCCCAGCCCGCCCTGGGACAGCACTGGGGACATGTCCCCATCCCCAGGGCAGCACCAGGGACATGTCCCCCAGCCCTGGGACAGGGTCAGGGACGTGTCCCCCATCCCCAGGACAGCACTGGAGACATGTCCCCATCACTGGGACAGCACCGGGGATATGTCCCCATCCCAGGACAGCACTGGGGACATGTCCCCCGTCACGGGGCAGCACCGGGGACGTGTCCCCCAGCCCTGGGACAGGGTCCCAGGGATGCGTCCCCCATCACGGGGCAGCACTGGGGACGTGTCCCCATCCTGGGACAGCACCGGGGACATGTCCCCCGTCACGGGGCAGCACCGGGGACATGTCCCCATCACTGGGGCAGCACCAGGGACATGTTCCCCAACCCTGGGCAGGGCCAGGGACGTGTCCCCCATCCCAGGACAGCACTGGGGACATGTCCCCCGTCACGGGGCAGCACCGGGGACGTGTCCCCCAGCCCTGGGACAGGGTCAGGGACGTGTCCCCCATCCTGGGACAGCACTGGGGACATGTCCCTCATCCCCAGGGCAGGACCAGGGACATGTCCCCCAGCTCCAGGGCAGCACCAGGGACATGTCACCATCTCCAGGGTAGCACCAGGGACATGTCCCCCAGCCCTGGGACAGAGTCAGGGATGCGTCCCCCATCCCAGGACAGCACTGGGGACACGTCCCCATCCCAGGACAGCACCGGGGACATGTCCCCCAGCCCCAGGGCAGGACTAGGGACATGTCCCCCATCCCCAGGGCAGCAATGGGGACATGTCCCCCATCCCTGGGACAGGGTCAGGGACGTGTCCCCCAGCCCCAGGGCAGCACTGAGGAATGTCCTCCATCCCTGGGGTAGGATGTGGGACATGTTCCCCAGGGCAGCACTGCATTCATGTCCCCCAGCCCTGGGACAGGACCAGGGATGTGTCCCCCAGCCCTGGGACAGGACCAGGGACGTGTCCCCTGGCCTCGAGGGGAGTGCTGGGTTCATGTCCCCCAGCCCCAGGGTAGCACTGAGGAATGTCCTCCAGCCCTGGGGTAGGATGTGGGACATGTCCCCCAGGACAGCACCAGGGACATGTCATCAGCCCTGGGGACATGTCCCCAGCCCCGGGGTAGCATCAGGGACACGTCCCCCAGCCCTGGGACAGGATCAGGGATGTGTCCCCCAGCCCCTGGGCAGCAATGGGGACATGTCCCCCAGCCCTGGGACAGGACCAGGGACATGTCCCCCATGCCTGGCTCTTGGGGACACCACTTGCACTTTGGCCACGGTTGTCACCCGTGCTGCAGCGCCTGTAACACTAGGAGGGGGGGTTTGCTGGAAATAAAGTTCCCAAATGGGAGATGGTGGCCTTGTCCTGTGGCTTGGAGGTGCTGGTGGGGTGGGATCCAGCTCTGCCCCACCTCCTCTGGGGTGGAGACCCCCAACATGAGCCCTCCCAGCACCCCAAAAATGGCCTGAGCTGGGGGACTCGGCTCAGCTCTGGGTCTTCTCAGAGGAGCTGCCACCAAGGCTGGGGGGTTCCTGCCAGGGACCCCATGTACGGTCCCACCATGCCCAAGGGCTCAAGGTGGGGTTGGGGCCCTGTGGTGCCCCCCATGGACACGTGTGCCCCAACTGGGGTGCAAAGCAAGGGGTTGGACTGGAGCAGCGGGTGCTGCTCAGGACTTTTTTTTGCCCCCTCCATCGTCCCTGGCCCCTGTTGAGCCTCCCCCCGTTTCCTTATCGGGGTCCTTCATGGCTGTGGGTCTCTTCATCATCTTCCTGCCACCTTATCGCTCTGGCTCCTCTTCCTCCCCACCAGATCTTGGCATCTGAAGGAAACCACATCGAGATGGTGCTGGGTCTGTGCCAGCAGCTCCTTAACCCCTCCTCTGCCACTGCTGCTGCCACCGCACACCCAGGCAGGGCACGGGCAGCCTCATTGGTGGCTTTTGTCCCCGGTGACGTGGGCACAGCCCCAAATTGGACGCTGGAGGGTGGTGGGTGCTGGCTGGGCACCCCAGCAGCATCCCGAGGAGCTCACCCCAAAACAGACCCAAGCCACAAATTCAGGCTCCAGCTCCGCTCCTGCCCCTCCAGATCTGTCCAGGGGAGGGGGACAGGTCACAAGTCACCCCAGGTCAGAGTCCAAAGACCTCAGGAAGGAGCCACCACGGTCCCTGTCATCCCTGGGCTCTCATGGTCCCCACCCCAACTGCTCTCGAGTGCAAAGATGGCACCAGTCCCAGGGCATGGGCACTGGAGTTCCTGGAAAAGGAAAGTCCTGGTGGATAAACAAGCCCCAGGGCTTCCCCGTGAAGAGCAGCCAAAACTGGGATTATCCTGGATTAGCCCCACAGCCCCTCCGGCTGGCTCTCACAGCCAGTCCTTCCTGCGCTGTGGGTCCCATGGGCTGCTCTTGAGTGCAAGGATGGCACCAGTCCCAGGGCATGGGCACTGGAGTTCCTGGAAAAGGAAAGTCCTGGTGGATAAACAAGCCCCAGGGCTTCCCCGTGAAGAGCAGCCAAAACTGGGATTATCCTGGATTAGCCCCACAGCCCCTCCGGCTGGCTCCCACAGCCAGTCCTTCCTGCGCTGTGGGTCCCATGGTGGGACTGGTCCCAACCTGCTGGGGCTGCCCCACGCTGGGTTGGGCTGTGCTTTATCCTCCCTCTCGGTCTCCATGGGGTGGTCCATGGGGATCCCCCAAATCTAGGGGTCCTGCAAGCTCTGGCAGTGACCCCCAGGTCCCTTCCTGGTCCCCTGGCTCTGCCCAGCTCTGGTTCATTCAATAAATACTCCCTCCTCTGCCCTGGGATGTACTGGGCAGGTCCTGGGTGGGCTGGTGGGGCCTTGGTGGAGCACGGCTGGAGCTCAGGACCAGTTACCCACCCCTTGGGATGCCCAAGACCAGTCCCATCCCAATGCTGCCTGCAGGAACCAGCTGAAAACCAGTGCACTGAGCAAGGGGAACCACTGGGAACAAGCAGGTGGTGACGGGGACGGGCTGGGGACACGACGTGACATCTTCATCCAGGGAAGTGAGAGCTGCGGCTTCATCAAATTTCATGCAAATATTGAAGCCCTCAGTGCTTCTGAGAGCAGAGCTGGGGGTTTTAGGGCAGTGATGAATTCAGCCATCGAGTCACAGAATGGTTTGGGTGGGAAGGGAACTTAAAGCTCCCCCCCGTGCCACCCCCTGCCCTGGGCAGGGACACCTCCCACCAGACCAGGTTGCTCCAAGCCCCCTCCAACCCAGCCTTGAACCCCTCCAGGGATGGGGCAGCCACAGCTTCTCTGGCCAACCTGGGCCAGGCTCTCACCACCCTCACACCAAAGAACTTCTTCCCCACATCTCAGCTCCATCTCCCCTCTTTCAGTGTCAAACCCTTCCCCCTCCTCCCATCCCTCCCCTCCCTGATCCAGAGTCCCCCCCCCAGCTTTCCTGGAGCCCCTTGAGGGACTGGAAGGGGCTCCAAGGTCTCCCCGGAGCCTTCTCTTCTCCAGGCTGAACCCCCCAACTCTCTCAGCCCCCCCTCCCAGCAGAGGGGCTCCATCCATGGATCATCTCTGTGGCATGGATCATCTCTGTGACCTCCTCTGGCCCTGCTCCAACAGCTCCATGTCCTTGGGATGTTGGTGGCCCCAGAGCTGGAGGCAGCACTAGGGGGGTCTCCCCAGAGCAGAGCAGAGGGGCAGAATCCCCCCACCTTGCTCTGCTGGCCACACTCATCTGGTGGGAAGGAGCACCTTGGAAATGGCAGAACATCAAAAAGAAGTTCTCCTTGTGGGCACACGGGCTCCCTGGCCTCTCTTCACTGGGTATTTGGGTATTTTCTCCCGGCCACGTTTCTACCGTTCCCCCCCCGGGAGGTTTTGTCTCCACATCCCGCATCCGGGTGCCTGAAATCCCACCCTGGGGCAGAACTGGGTGTTCTGAGGTTCCCCGCTCCCTCCTCTTCCCACCGGGGATGAAGGATGTGCTCTGAGATGGCAAGAAACAAATAGGGTACGGGGCACAAATCCTCCCTCGGGCATGAGAAATACGTGGAAAATACCTCACCTCTGAACTGAGAGACAGCGGGGGCTCTGTCTGGGACCAGGGACGGTCCCTGTTGTGGGGGAAATTGGGTAAATGGTGTCTTCTCTGAGCTCTGGGCTCTTGCAGAGTCTGTGCAATTTCCAAGACCTCACCTGAGCAGGGAAAAAGCAATTTTGCAGGTTTTAGCCTGAAAATAAAAGACTTAAGACTGTTTAAACCCCCAGCCCCACGCAGACAGAGCTGGGTGCCTTCGCTCTCCTGAGGGCTGGGGGAAAGACGCGGCCGAGCATCATCCTCCCACGGGGAGCAGGAGCTGGTGGAGACGGTGGGGCAGGTCCCAGCCTGCCAGAGCATCTCCTGGGGCACATCCCTGTGTCCCCCCCCTCTTTCCCAGCCCAGGAGCTGCTGTCGGCACCTCCATAAAATCTCACCCAGCCCTTTTTCCTGCGTTTTCCGTGCCTGCCCAGCCCCCGGCTGTGCCGTCAGCGCTGTCTGGGAGGCATCACGGGGGGTCACGCTCGGCTGCTCCGGCCGCCCCGATGCCGACACGGGGCTGTGGAGCCGGCACCGTGCGTGCCATCAGCGCTGTCTGGGAGGCATCACGGGGGGTGGTTTTAGCCTGAAAATAAAAGACTTAAGACTGTTTAAACCCCCAGCCCCACGCAGACAGAGCTGGGTGCCTTCGCTCTCCTGAGGGCTGGGGGAAAGACGCGGCCGAGCATCATCCTCCCACGGGGAGCAGGAGCTGGTGGAGACGGTGGGGGAGAGGCCAGGAGCAAAATCCTGGTCCATGTCCTGCATCTGGGTACGAGTTTTCCATGGCACCCCATTTGTCCCCCCAATA